TGACAGCTTTAACCAAGGCCCTTTTCAAGCCATCGAAGGGACTGTCCAAAAAGAACTCTGACTTCCATAATGTGTGAAGTCCCGATTTCATTACATACCTTCACCTCTTGCAAAAACACTTCTTCAACCTAACCTTTTCTTACCAATTTCTTCCCAAATGGCATGCATTAAAAAAAAAAAAAAAAAAAAACTTTACTGGGGAACAATGTGTTTTGCCATTTTCAATCTAGCTGAGGGGGATGCAGCCCACCATCCCATGCATGTGGGAGTCGAACCGGCAAACTTGTTAAGAGCACGTGCTCTAACCAACAGAGACATCTGGCCGCTCTGGCATGCATTTTTTAAAAATGAACACACCCGGTATTCGCTGGGTTCAAATAAATATAATACAGGGAGATTCTGGTCCAAGGCCGAAGGATCAATCTTAAAGAGCAGAAGAGGACAGCAGAGCACAGTCACGGTGCTCAATGACTGCCAGTAAACTAACTTCGTTGACTTGGACCCCACTCTGCCAAAGGCGTTCAGTTAATGAGTGGGCACTTATCCCTGCGCATCCTCAAATTAAGAAACGGATTCCTTGCTTGAGCACCCAGGTCTTTGAAAGATTTCAGGGAATGAGCCTGTGTCTGGAGCAGACGGCTGAGCTTCTTCCTGGGGAATGAGCTTTCAGGAATCACTCAGCAGGGGTGTCAGGCTAGATGGCCAGCATGGGCTACGCCAGTCGCTCCACCGTCTGCTCAGATCTTTAGACAGCACCAGCAATTTTGCCTGTTATAATTTGGAGCACTGGATTAAGTTCTGAAAGCACAAAGGAACCGCTCTGGGTCACTGCGTGGCAGTGTCTCATGGCTTCTTGGAGCAAACTCATCCATCTAGGCCATTACCAGCAGAGGACTCTAGAGCTACAGTAGCTCCAAAAAGAAGAGGCCAGAAGGACCCCCAAAAATGGAGGGGTCAGGCTTGAGACTGGGAGAGAGCAGAGGGAGACTGAGCTCAGTCACAGTACGTTGGAGAGGGGAGCTGTAACTACACACCTCATAGACCTCGAAGGCAGAGGACAGGTTCAGCAGAGAGCAAGACAGGGTGTAGAAAGAATATAGACTCCGGAGTCAAAAGAACCTGCGATTGAACCTGGCTCTGCCTCTTGCTAGCTAAGTGACCTCGGGAGCAAGTTACTCAATCTCTCTGGGTTCTGGTATGAACTCTTTGAAAAGAAATTATATTACAGGCCCATAAAATCCCTTATGCACAATTTCAAAATCCCCAGAAAGCTCTGAAATCCAAGTTGTGTCATAACTTATTTGGCAGCAAAACCCAAGTGAATTGGCCTGAGGCTCTTCTCTATCTATCCCACTTAAATAACCAACTCTTTCTAAGTTTTGCAGCAGTAATCTAATTTGATGACACAGTGCTGTCCCAGACCCTGCCTCAGTGTGTTAAATAGTAATATTAACATATGCATTGAATTGCTTTTCTAAATAATATTGGGTTGTCGGGAAAGTCACGACATTTTTTTCTGTTTTTCGTTGCAAAAATGCGTCACGACTTTTCCAACAACCCAATAGTATAGAGACTTTAAGGCATTCCTAAAATCAGAAAAATTCTGAATATGTCTGGCCTCAGGGGTTTGGATAACTTGTACATTACATCTTCGAGTCCTGTTGTGAGGATTAAGTGAGATAATGTAGGTGTTGTCTAGTTCACAGCTTTCCAGTCTGTGTAAGCCATTGCCACGGTTAGACTTCTGCCACAACGTTCAGAAAATACAGTAGTAGACATATCTCTCTCTAGGATGCTCCACATTAAGCTTTAGTATCTTCACACAGCCAGCGGGGCCCCTACCAGTTGCACAATCTGTGCCTTTTGCAGAAAAGGGAGGCACTGTGCATTCCTAACGGAAAACCCTCTCACACCTGGGCCTGTGATGGAATCCTTCCTTTAGTTGCCCACACAAGGTCTTCTTCACCGCGGGGTAATGAGGGCATCCCAAGTGAGACGTGGCCTCATCCAGCTCTCATTTAACATGGGACGAGCCAACAAGCTCTGCTTTATGACGACTGTGCTGACATAAATTCTTTTTTTTTTCCCGGTCTAGGACTTTTCCTTGTGATATTTGAAAATAATGAAGGGAAAAGAACAAAGACCCAGTTCATAATCTTTTAATAATGCAATGATCATCTCAGGTGCAATCTTAATTCCAACTGACAACAGAAGTCGAAACTCCTTGGAAATTTTATTTTTTATAATATATATGTAACTATCACATCTTTCCACATATTCAAAAGACATGAACAGACACTCCAAGTTATGGGACTCAATCTTCACACCTTCTCATTTACCATTCTCCATAATGTCCCCACTCGGCAAATCATCTGACTTGGTAGATCAATTCAACATCTGGCATAAAAACAGAAACTATTTCAAAAAACTAAACTGATCACCTAACTGGGTTTCCTCTGTCATGCCTACAACTTGGAAGTGAAACAAGGATATCTAATAAGAGACAACAGGCTCTAAAGTGAGAACTGTCTGTTGACACCCTCAATATGAAAAGACATTTGAAAAGTATAAATTGTAACTTCAATAAAACGTTTGGGTTGTCCTCCCAAACTCACTCCTCAAGGGCATTTTACAGCATTGTGTGGGTTACACCTTCAAATCAGGATTATACACCTGCTGAAGCACTTTCTTTATTCTCTGCTTCTAAGTACCATTAACGGAAGGCCCACATGTTGTTCATTCTTGGGAATATGGCCTCTCACATAACATGTCATCGTCAAGACGATGGCATGCCTGCAAAAGTGCCTGTTCAGAGAAAGAGCTCAACAGAAGCTGGTGGAATGAACTCATTAAAGCAGGAAGCCCTAGACTCCATCATTGTGGAGGAAGGCAGAGCAGGTATCTTGCTGTCAAGAAGGTTTAAATATGAAAAGAGAGAACACGAACCCTATGATATTAGATTAAAATTAAAGATATTGGAGTGAGTCCATGGTTTTCAAGATAGGTAGGTAGATAAGGAAGGAAGGAAGGAAGGAAGGAAGGAAGGAAGG